CACGACCATTGCTGGATAACGGGCACCAAAGCATGTGCTTGGGAATAGCTGCACATCCGCACTTCAGCCTCAACCCGAGGGAAAGATCAACGCTACCAACATCTTTACTGTCATGAATGGGACGTCGATGCCAACCAACGGCTCAACTTCAGCCGCCATGGGGAGCGGTGGTGGCGCTTCCTCATTCTGACACATGCACTGTTAACTTGTATTCTGCCAGGATTCTGACTATCACCAGTTCTCTCCTGAGTGTTTCCAGGTGCAGCAGCTGGATGGTCTGATGACAAGCCTCTTTTATCTCCAGTTGTTGTATTTTAAGGCTGCACATTACATTCACCAACTCTTTGCTTCGATTCTCATATTTCCTGACCAATATTACATGCAGAGTTTTTATAATATATTACTTTTATTAAATTAACTTCTTTTTATCTAGTCCCTGGGTGCCTCTTAATGTAAATGTAGTTATTTATTTTCCAAGTTCATAACATTAGTAGTGTCTATTTTCCATGCGCAAATTTTTATTCTTTATAGTGTGTACCTGCTCAAGTGACAGGTTGCTTGAGTAATCATTCCTATATACAACTTAGCAAGGATATTGTGATCCTAACCTATCTGCGTAACCAAGAACCTATCTTGCAATTTCTAGATTCCTCAATTATCTTGTTAAACATTATTACATCAGTCAGGGTAGTGACAAGCCAGTGCCATTCTGTCTCTAGAATCAGGTACACTAGGCCAAAGATTATTGTAACATCAAGTATTATAAACTCTAGTACATCTTCCCTCTGCTGTACTGTGACCAGTCCATGTTCATCTGATATGAGTTGAGAGATGGCTGCAGCTAACATCGGAACACTCGCAACATGCCATACAGCGCCCCGATATGTGTAATCATAGATGTTGAACAGTGTTACAAGCTTTACTGGGAGCCAACCCTTTAGTGCACTATAAATCTATTCAGTACCTACTTGTATCAAAGCTCAATCATTGAAACTTTCCTGATTACAGAAGAGCAAAGGGCAAGTGAATTGTACTCAGTTGATATCCTAAACAGCACTATCTTAGTATGCAAGAACTGGGATATCCAGTTGTATTAGTAGTTAGACAGGGAGTGATGCAAGTATAACTGGATCTTAATAAAGGCAGCACTCAGTGGGCAGATTTTTCCAGTAATGGTTAGTCAATTCACAACACATAGTGGCAGAAGAGACTTCTAAAAGTGGCAAAAAATCCAGAACATCTGACAGGTTATTACATTGTTTTTTGAGGGTTCTGCAATAGGGCCCCAGTACAGATATTGTATTCAGGCTAGTTTTACCATGCTAGGAGGTCAAATCTACAGTGCCGTAGGGAATTCAAGTTCAGCAGTCAGATTCAAATAGGATGCTGGTGACCACAGCTGTGGAGGATCTATTGTGCGGCATAATCTTTATTTAAACCTCTCCATCAGTCCTTGATTTAATCTTTACCTATGAGCGCGCCAGATATCTGTTGAATATATTGGAACATTACCAAACTGCCACTAGCCTTGGTGAAAGTGACAAAGTAGATGCATCTAAATAAAGTAGAAGTGAGATTCCATATAGATTAAGTCTATATGGTGGTAGCTCTCTTCTGCAGGATCATCTTCACAGGTTCAGTGCCACTTGGTGGTAGCAATTAACTGGTTCATATATGCTCTCTGATGTTTTAATGCACATCTTTACTCATCCACCTTGGCCTGTATACGTTTGGATATTTGTAACTCAATGAAGACATCTCTTGTCCTGTGAAGCTGGGTTAGATATTGTCCCATATAAGCCATGGTCTCAGGTGTGTGGCAGCAGTATTGTACCATCATAGTGAAGTTGCCAAGCTCTGTGACAAATCTGTGAGTAAGTTTAAATTGTACACTTTGCGCACAGTCTGGCTTCTGCTCTGGCACAGTGAGAACTCCTAAATGACCATGTTTTAAATAGCTCAATTTCTTTTAGGGTTTTGTGTAACCTGAAGGCAGGCCATATTTGTTATAAGGAAT